CCAATTTTTTAGACTTAGTCAAGAACAAGCTGTGTAAAAGGTAGGCTAACTTTTGACTTAAGTCCAAAGAATGGCTAAACTAAGTTAAGTTGAGTTGGAGGAACCAGCCCTTAGCCTCTTCCCGTACGTTAGTGCTCAAATTTTGACTAAATCCTGGAGGTGTGGAACAAGATATCTATTTTCTACCAAAGCAAATATTTTCTATAGTGACGACAGCATGGCTGCAATAGTTGGCACTCTGCGTATCATTCTTCTGCGAATCAAGAACTCCTATATAATGAGATAAGTTATAACCGGAGCCGAAACATAGCTATTTTCTTCGCACATAAATTTTGTACTAGTTGCATACTAGTCAAGTAATGGGTAGGAACAACCAAATTGCTATGCCTGAACAATAATACCGACAGTTTCGTTTGCATTGCTGTTTGTTTTTCTTTTTCATTTCAATAATTAACGTTGTAAAGTATGTAATTGTTTGCGATTTCATATGTATAGTTACCTATTTTACTCGCTGCCGTTGGAAATTTAATTATCGTAACTATTGATACTGTTGGCATCTCGCGTGATTAGGAATTTTAATTTTTTGGAATAATGCGGCTGACTATTTTCGCTAAAGAACCAAATGTTTTGTGAACTTTTTTTATGCATATATAGTAGTATATATTTAATTGTGATTTTTAGTAAAAATTTCTTTAAGAAATTAGGCTTGACTATCATCATTGGCGTCGATTCGAGTTTGTTGCCTATGGCCTGCCTCGCTTTGTCTAAATGCTCGTCACGGCCCGTTTTTTTTACTCCCTCGAGAGCAACTGGCTTTCGACTTTCCTTCAGTTTAGAAGTAACTACCACCGTGTGTGTTATGTAGCTGATTCTTTTGATAGGGTGAAGATTATGTACATATATTGGGACTGAAAATGGCACAACGGCGAAACCTGTATTATTTTGTATCTTCCAGTATCAAAGGGGGCGTTAGGATGAAACGGAGTTAGAAAAGGATTGCGGTACGTTGGCGAGGGTAGTATATGACGGGTCCCCTGCGGTCAAGGTTGACTCATCGGCAACTAGTCCCAATTCAGAGCATCCTTCCTTATTCATTGTGATATGACTGTCGGATGTGATGAATCGGCCCTGAGATAGTCGATATTTTTAGGGGTATAGACGGGTGGCATTTTTGCTGCGTGTGTGCTTTCTCGAGCTCGCTCAAATCTAAAAATTGTTAAAGATTAAGTTATTCTGTGTCTAAGCTTATATTTTTAGCACTCTCACTTGACACAGTTTATTTAAAGCACTTCAATTTATTAAAAATAAAATCATAAATACAACCCTCAATCAGTGAGGCACCCAGTCTTGAATGACTCATCAACTTTGTATAGCAGCATAAATTGGGACATCCGTTAACCTGCTACACATTTTTCAAGCATCTGCCAGTAATAAATTTCAATTTAAACTCACAGTTATTTAAATGCTAAGTTTAACTGCTGCTATGCTTAAAATACGTTTTTGAAAATAAACATAAAACTTAAATACCGCAAAGGCACAAAGCAGCAACGCCAACAATGCATAGTTCGAAATTTCGCCTAATTGACTAAAAAAGTAGGCGGCTATGCTGTCTCGCTAAAAGCATGCTTATGTATATATAGGCATGAATGCGCATAAATATGTATGAATATGTGTAAGTGCATTTTATTTGTTGCGTCTGGGTTTAACTTGTCGGTGGGTCGCACAATGGGACTACAGCGACCAAAAATAGTAAAAAACGGACGCAAATTCAGAGCAAAATATCCGTCAAATCCAAATCAAAAAAAATTTTTAAAGATTCATATTTGTAGTAATAGGATGAACTTAAAGTAGATACAATGTAAAAATGTATATGCATTTGTTAGAAAAAATACTGATTATATCGTAAGTAATTTCAATTCATTTTTCTACAAGTGACGATATATGCACATATAATTGTCCACTGATATTTGTTTATTTATTTTTAAGAATTTTCAATTATTCTCTAACAAATCCTATATAAACCCAATTTTAAAACTTTATAGAAAACACTAAAAATATATCGCTACCTAAAGATGAAGTTTTTGATAAAAATGACAGATAATGCCAAACTACATCGATTTTTCGTCTCTCCTGAATAATTTCAAACAATTGACTTGGCACCTTTTCGCCTTAAGGTATCTATATTCAACAAAGTTTCACCCAAATTTCAAACTTTTTTTCTCAGAAGTGTTAGAATTTTTTTGAGTATACAGTTTTATAACCAATTAAATTTTAGTGCAAGTTTCAAGTGCCTAAAAATAACCGTTGATTTTTCTGCAACATTTGCTTCCATATAACGAATAAGCACAATTTATTTTCAGTTTTGTTGTATAAAATGCGGTTAGAAATTAAAAAACATATAAACACATAATTTAGTATGTAGGTACTGTAATTGTTTTCGTTTAATCATTTTTAAAATGAAGAAATAGAAACTGCATTAGAAACAAGTCATGATCCACTGGGACCACCTCTGAGATACTACCTTTCCGATGTAAAAAGAATTATCGAAATCGGTTGACGTGGTCCAAAGTTATGCGGTAACATACATAAAAAAAAATATTCCGACGAACTGATAACCTCCTCCTTTTTTGGAAATCGGTTAATAAAATAAATTTGTTAGTTCATTTTTATAAAATTTAGTACATGGAGCCAATTCACAAATTTGTAGCACGGTTACTACTTTTGACCGCCTCTTATATGGGGACGTCCCACTATGCCTGGGGCTGTCGCCATGCTTTTGTATGGCATTGAGTTTGGTGCAAAATGTTACTGCACTCATGGCATGGCAAGCCATCTCATACATGCATACAAGAGATAAGAACAATCGGGGTATTCTCTCAGTCTTGCAAAGCCCTTGCACGTTAAAAACCGGTTTTCGTATGGGGCCGCTTTACAATCCGTGCAATCCGTGCACCGTGAAAGAGCTACGCAATACTCAGAGAATACCCCTTATATTTTTGCAATGTGCGAATTGCACAAATCCACAGATGTAAGACTTTGCATATGTTTATGTGACTGTACATATAAATATGTACACAAATCAACTCTATTAAAATCACGTTTTAACTAAATGCAAGAGATTTTGATTAGCAATGCAGGCAAATTTTCACCCGCTCCCATCGCTGCGTATTTATTAAAATGCGTAAAATATTTAAATTTTTTTTTTGTTAGCGTTTCCGTGCTGTAGATAAAGAATGCTTCTTTATTTTATATGCCAGCTAGTCTAGGGTGACCACAGCAGTCGGAAACAGTCGCGGCAGCAATAGCAGCCTGCCAGCCAACAAGGCTTTTTGTGCATGCGCAGTTGGCGTGACCATCACACAATGGCTCCAAAAGCAGTTACATATTAATATGTTTACATTAATTATTTTTCTTCTTTTTTTGCAAGTATGTATTTAAATGCAGCTGTTGTCCTTGATGATACGATCACTTACTTGTTCGTCCAACGACTGTTTTCACATACAACTTTACGCCATACAAGAATTGAAGTTTTATTTTTTTAGTATCAATGCATGTATGCGTCTACATGTATTAAGTTATTTTTAGTTTTACCCACCTACTCCAGTTTTTTTTTGTAATTCTTGCTTTTGTTTGTAAACAATATTTCTCAATGCCTTTGTGATGCGAGCAGCTTTAATAAAATGTAAAGCTGGGATCACACGATTTGTACAGATTTGTAAATTTGGGCAGTTACGGAGTGGGGTTGTTTGGAAATGTTTTTATTTAGCTGAACTCATTCTTGATGAAAAATTCTAGACAACACTACTCTGTGACTGCCAAAATTTACAAATCCGCTTAACATATCAATAAATTTTTAAGTATCGGTTTGTTAATATGATTAAAGACCTTCATTTTTTCTTGGCTCTAATTAATATCCTCTAAAACATACATACGGATACTTGAGAATCTTTTACCTCCGAGAGGCACGAAATATCTGAAATATTTTGTATGAGTAAAACTTTGCGGTTGCGATTAAAAGACAAAACAAATCAAGTGTACCTTCTTACCTCGTATGGATGAATTTCTTACGTCGCCTGTATTATATTATCATTATCTATTGTTAGCAACATTGATTTAGGTGTTCTTATCGTAATTTATTTTATCGATTTTATTACCGTTAACGATTTTGTTATCGTTATTGATTTTTTTACTATCCTCATTTATGTATGTATATATTTATTTTGTTTTCGATTTTAATTTTTTTATAGTTATGTAATGGTTCTAAAATTCGAAGCCTTGGCCATTATTTGTTGTTTATTGGGACTGTAGCGCCTTGGTTGAAAAATATAAAAGGCGCTAGACCCGTTAAACGAGCTTTTACACATCTTCCGAAAGATTCGTATTAAAAGCCTTTTTATGAAATCTATTCATTAAAATAGCAAAAAGATGTTTTCCTCGACATCTAACGCTTGAATTGAAAATGAAAATATCTTGCCTATAAAATCTCACTTTTCTAAGATTATATCCATACTTCTATCAACTATTATTTTAATTCTGTTAGAGAATGAACATATTTTTCTGTTAGCTACATATCGTCGGCTGAGTGGAAGATCGCCCTATCTTGGCGCCCGTTTGAAAACGGTCCATATCATCAATTGGTTGAAGAGTGCCCTATCTCAGAATTTGGTTCAAAAATGCCATATCTCAATATAAATTCAATGGTCCTTATGAATCAAAGATTTTGAGATTTTATTTAAGAAATTGTAACAAAAATTTGCTCCAGCTTTTGCTAAAAGTTAAATAAAAGCTCTCCGTAAATTGTTAGCGCATAATCTGAAAAATGCCAAATTTTGAGTTGTGACTCTTTTGAAGACGGTGTGCGATATATTGAACCATTTTCTGAGAATGGGCGTTTTTCAACCATTTACCGAGAGAAGACGTTTTTAAACGGACAGTCGAGATAGGGCGATCGATATGTTTCTTTTTACTTATAAATACAGTTATAATCAAAACAAAGAGTGTCCTTGGCATTAGTCACATTTATTTTTGCTGGTCATTACCACTTGATTATCACAGCGTCATATCTAAAGAAAAACCAACTGGTGAGGTGGTGATACATACATAGATGTGCAATTGTTATTTACTAACAATGTGCTAACATACTTACACATATGCGTATTGCAAGAATTGTTACGTGCATAAATATTTGCTTAAGTGTTATCGTAAATAAGTTAAATAAATAAATAATTCGCGGTGAAATGGTGAAGGTAGCGTCGACACAATTTCACAAAGCTAACAATGAATTTACACTTTGCACTTTTTTAGACCAAAATTAGGTAAATATAATAAAATCTGAAGCTCGTGTGGAAAATAAATGGCGTTCTAGACTTCTTATTGAACTTCGAATGGGCGCTAGATTTCGGAGTCTGTAGGCAGAGCATAACTGTTAAGTGCAGACTCGGGCGAGATTGTCGGCAATATATGTACATATATCACTTTCATGATAGCCTTTTAAATGTGGAAAATCTAAGAATTTTAAAGTACATATTTGATAGGAAAGTAAAAACAATCATGAGTTAAATTGCGTGTTTTTAAAATAAAATTTCCCTTTTTTTATTAATTTATACCCCGACTAAGATGATTCCACATCAGCAATACTAAGAGCTTTCTAACACATTTTGTTGATAACGTGGTTTTGTACTTAAAACGCCGATGTATGATATACACTGTCAATCGATGTCTCCTTTCATTTATAAAATCAGCTTGCTTGCCTGCATCGCTTTGATAAAAAAAATACCATGAACGTCTGCCGTATTAGCCTGTGGAACTAATATCCTCCGGCGATATACATACATATACTCGCCTTCCTGGCTAGTGACCTTTGGCGCTTGTACTTTCTTTGTTTTGCTAGCCGTCGCCTTCGTCATTGAAACATTAATTCTTTGACGCAGGTGACAGCCATTCATTGTTGTGCTAACTACCTTGAAATGTTTGCAGGTTATCAGCTTATACATCTGAATCCTAGTATCTACTATATATGCATATTTACATATGTGCATATTGCATATCTACCTTTGTAAGGTTCTTGACCGCAACATGTCATATTTTGTTTCATTTGCTCTGTTTGCGTGACTGTCACACACCTACTACATATATGTTTGTATGTATATGTTGATACATTTCTTATCCATTTATTTTGCAATTTTTTTATACATGTGCACATACATGCAGTCACTCACAGAAGTACTCGTAATTTAGTTTTTTTTCACAATATTCAAAATGTTTCCCTCATAAATCTTTTTCGTTAATTTTCATTTAAAATATAGCTCATTCTATAACAAAAACCATATAAATCATTCTTGCAAACTTTGTACAAAATTCATAAAAATTAATCAAACTTGAAAAAAAATTCATCAAACTTGTTAAGTCAGAATTTTTAGAAAAGTTTTCGGTATGCAGTTTTGTAGCCCGTTCAATTTTGGTATAATAAAGTGCAAGTTTCAAGTAGCTAAAAATTACTGCTGATTTTTTAGTTTTTTTTTTCGTCGAGGGTGTTGCGCATTTTCTTCCATATAAAAATAGATTTTGTTCATACCTTATATGGAAACACATGCGCAACATCGTCGACAAAAAAATTCTAAGAAATCGGCGGTAGTGTACCAGGGATAATGCGAATATTTGCATTCGCATTCGTTTTGCGAATCATTCTTATGATTTTGCACATTCGCGTTTGCATCAAATGATACGAATGTTTTGCGAATGCGAATGTCTACAGAGAGTCCACTTTAATATTGTTGAAATGGCTCTAATAGTTCGCTTCCATCAAGTATTAAGAATAAAATTAATGCGAGTGAAGTGCCATTTCAAAAACCGATAAGAAGAGTATTCGCTATGCAAAAAACTTGTACAAGTTGGTACCAATTGTTACCAAATCGTGTTCGTTTGGCCAAAAAACTAGTAAAACTTGCAAGGAGAGAGTACAATTTTGACATTTCATTTGGAGGGGAAGTTGCAAGTTCATGCTGGGATAATTTTGGCCAGCAAGAATTTGTAAGCAGGATTGTGGCACACGGTTGCATTTTTGTCAACAATAATTTGAATCAAAGAGTTCGGGTTAAATTTTAAAATGAACAATCTTGTCGCGATTTACTACAATTAATTTAATTAATTCCCAGCATTCGAAAGGTACTCGGCCGAAAAAGCTGTATTCGTAATCGGAACGCAGTCCAGGAACAAAGAAATTGAAGCGTATGTTGAAGAAAGTCAGAATAGGAAGAAATATAGGTATAGGTTCTGTTTTGTTTTCCATCTGAAATAATTGATTTAAAAATGTATTATGCTCGAAATGCAACCGTGGACGCCAGCTGGCAGTGAAGTTTGCAAATGCGTTGATCCGGATAAACTAGGGAATTAACTGCAATTGATCTGGATTAAGTCCGAGTTAATCCGGATCAACCCTGCCGTCTGTTTAAGCTTTAAGATACCTTATTCTCTGAATTTTGTTACTGGCCAATTCTGACTGGCTTTTGCATAAAGAGAACACTGTACACTTTTCAATGCTTTTCTACTCAATTGCATTCTACTTATTAACTGAATTAAATTCTCGACTCACATTTCACATTCACATGTTATTGTATTACCTTGTTCCGGCTGTTATACGTCTTATGTATGTACATATCGTCGTTTAAAATACAAAACCGCGTATCAACAAAATGCAAAACCGCGTATGTGAGGTTGTATAAATTATTTTCTAGAGACTTATATTTCAAAAAGACTATCTTTTTTATAAAGCAATTGCATTTCTGACTAGTATATTTCAGGAGAAATGGGTAAGGCTGGAGCCAAGAGCTTGTGTGGCCAAATCCAATTTTTGGCAGCAAATATCAGTTGCGCGGTTTTCCAGAATGACGATACGCGGTTTGGTATTTTAAGCGACGGTATGTATGTAGATGCACTGGCGTGTGTTCCCTGCAGTCATTGGTAGATACATACATAGCTATTATCCAAGCAATTGCGTCTTAATGCCTACATTTGAGTGAGTTTTCCATTGTTATTATTAATGTTCTTTTCTGAGTGAAGAAGTGAGTGAATTTACCACGATGTAATTGCATTCTCTATGCTATATATTTCATCGCTTTTGTTATTGTTTACCTGCTTTGTTGCTGTTGACGATTTACTATATCCGCACCAGTTTGGCCAAAAAACTGGTTAGTCATCATCTTGCAGTTGGCAGTTGGTTGCTGGTCGTGATTGTCAGTCAGCTGCTGATTCTCTTTGTTGCTTATTAAAAAGAATAATAGCTAACAAGAAAAACAAACAATTCTTCTTGCTTGTATGCGTACTGTAAATAACTTTATATACAAACTGAGGTCTTGAGTTTTTTCGACAAGCTTGCACTCAAAGTGTACTCCATTGGAGGGCCAGTTAGCTGACAACAAACAGCAGGCAAGTCAGTCTGTTAGTGAGTTCATTGCAGTATAGCTGCTATCCATTTGTACTGAAATTTGAACAGCCAGAGGAAGCGCATTTTTCAGTATATACATAATACATACATATCTTGGATCTTGAATTTTCGCTATATCTACTTTGTTATCATTTTGCTTTTCAAGGTACGGTGTGTTACTAGTGAAATTTGCTAGTTTTTGTTTTATTAATTTGCCAAAATCAGCATTTTTGTATTGTTTTTAATTTTTTGTAATTTTTTGTATATTTCAGAATCTTGGATTGAGCTGAGCAGCGCTGCTACAATGGCTGGCGTCAAGAGTCCGGATCGAATCACACCATTGCCCTTCACAAGTGGTGAAGAGTATTTACGTTTGTTGCGCGAAGCGCAACGCGAATCAAATCACTCCAGTCGTGTTGTCTCACTGGCCAGTTCGCGCCGTGATACACCCAGGGATAGGTAAGCGCTTGTAACCGTTTTACTTGAGTTTTTTCTTCATTTATGATTAATATTTACAGCCCCAAATCGCCACCAAACAGTCCGAATACCGAGCTCACACCCAATGAAGATCTCAAGAATGTTTACATTAATTATTGGAATAAGGTTTGTAGCAATACAGAAGCCTAAAATCGTGTTTTTATCAGTATCTATTTTTCTTATATTTATTGTAGGAGGGCGATAGTCACAAAGACACAGACTGGCTGGATGAATGGAATAGCCGACCGGATCAAGAACCACCAAAGTGAGTATAAGAAATTGTTATTCAAAATGCATTCGTATTGTCACTTCTAGTTTTAGTTAACATCAACTTACACTCCTGATCTCATTCTTAATGCATTTTCACAATCTAATGGAAATGGAAAAACGGGCCTAACGTTTTTATAACCTAATTTACTTTTTCTTGCAGAGATTGGAAATTTGAACATCCACAAAAGAAGAAGGGTGCTGGTTATTCCATTCGTTTGACGCGTCTTGGCAAGAATTCGCTATTTTCCAGAGAAATACTATACTCGCTCATTTTGTCGAATGTGCTGTCCTTGTTATTAGGCGCTGGACTAGGGTAAGTATGCATGCAATTAAAGTTATCAATCTCTGAATATACATATAGATCGGAGAAGATGCAAAATTATATATATTTCCTTTTTTACTTACAGCTTATGGCTCAGCAAACGTGGCATTCTCTTGACCCGAGTTGTCATTGACTGAACGGAATGTTAAAGAAAAGTGATTTATATACATATATATTATTTTTAATATTATTATTTTAAACAAAGCGGAAAGCAGCAGCAAAACAATGAGCGAAAGTTGTAAAATAAAACAACGTTTTAATATTTGAAATAGAAAAACAGTAAAACGAAATTGAAAGTTAAGGAGCTATCAGAAATATCTAAGAACGAGCGCAGATGAAACAGTTGTAAAAATATTTTCATACCACAAAATAAGTAGCAGTGAGAATATTTATAGCGAAGATTAACAATAAAACAGCAACAACAAATAACATGGAATTAAGAAAGATAAGAATTTTTTAAAATAAAGCGATGACATTTTTATGCGCATATTAAACGCATAAAATCATATGTATGTATATGTATGTATTTCTGTATGAATATAATTACTTATGTGCATTGCGTTATATGGAAAGCGTGCGATAGCAGTTAGAGCATTCGATAATCAGCCAATATAAAACCGTTGCCGGCATTGAGAGACACCAAGAAATGTAACAAAACAAATTAGTAAGATAATTATATACATACATACACTACATATAAATAAATTTAAAAAAAAAAACACATACATATATACAAGCAACTAGCGTTGTGTGATTTGATTGAGTTCATTTCATTGGCCGTACGGGATCTGATCAGTAAGTGGATTTGAAAGTATGCTGCAGTTGCAAGTTATGGGGAGAGTATTTGACTAATCACACAAACGCAAAGCAACAATTTATACATAGAATAGAGAAATAAAAGCAAAAATAAAAACAATTCGATTACCATACATATATATTTACTTGGAAAAACTTGCTGATTGAAACGTGCAACACAAGCGTGGGCTCAGGTCTTTTTATTATTATTACTTGTATTATTATATAACCCCAATTTTTCGAAACTAAAATGCGATTTAATGTTCTTACAAAAATGCTTTGTATTTCATATTTTTACAATTTTTATTAAACAAAAAATATCTAAACTATTTTAATATTTTTACAGAAAAATAAAGTAAAAAAAATAAAGCGAGTAAGAAAGGAAAGGCAGTAGCATACAGTATTTGGCGTGTTTTACTAGTAAAAATACAAAAAGCAAAAGAAAATGCGGAATGCGGAATTTCATATTTTGTGTTAAGGCAGTTTATTCAGTGCAAAATCTACATTATTTGATATACATTTGCGACAAAAGAATAGTTTTGTGAAGTTGTTTAGTAGCTAAGCTATATTCAACCACTCCTTACTCTAAAATTTCCCGCTAGTTTACCTTTTTAAATGTTTTTAATGTTAATTTATATAATACAAAAAATATATCTATGTTTTATATTTATATACATACTATATGATTATGCAACTACGGATGTATTTTTGGTACTCGAAATTGTCGAGTTCACCAATACCACCAGAACGCGTTTGTTTTTTTCTAGCTTGTAGTTAAATTAAGACGCGAGAACATTTCCTCAATACCATTTGCATACATACATTCATTTAACAATACAGGCGGGTTCCGACTACAAATGACTTAAGTTAACTTTGAAGCCGAATTTTGGTGTTCGTATTTCGCGTTTATCATGTCAAATACACTTGAATTCATTTTTTAGTTTTCAATTTCACTTTCACTCGGATTCTAGAACCTGCCTGGTATTGTACATATTTAACGGAAACAAAAATTGATTATATTTTTAATATCAAAGCGAATAAAATAATATGTATAATTGAATTTAATTGAAGAAGTAAGAATTCGAAAATACCGTCGTTATGGCAAAAACCCCTTTCCCTATATACAACACATACATATAACTATGTATCTAGTATATATTTACATACATATGTATATGCATAATTATATTATTAAAAATCTTATAGACTTTTTTGATAAACTAAAGAAACGACAAATGGAAAAAAGTATGAGAAATGCAATAAAAAAAAAAAAATAAAAAAACTAAAGAAGCGAAATAAACACTGTGTATTTATTACTATTATTTAGAACTAATATGAATATCAGCAGTGGCTACCGGGCCATCAGCTCTACGTTGCAGAAATTACTTTTGTTTATAGCTAGGTAATTTCTTCAGTTTTCTTTTTCTTGGAGATATACATGTGTTTGTGTTGGTGTGTCCAAGGCGGAGTCGGGGGAAAATATCCTCGTTTTAAAACCGTTTACATAGTGGGGTATTGCAGAGGTATTAAATCTTTGTTGATGGCTACTGAGTAGTGAGGGTGTTGGTAGTTTTGAAATTCCGTTTTCGATTTTTTCTTTCAAGTGTTGGTGAATGTGGTGTTTTATGTAATTTTCATTTATATACACCTGCGTTCAACTAATTAGCAACAAAATTCAAAATAATATTGTTTGCAAATTATGTTAATTTTTTTATTTTTAATAATTTTCATTTAAATTATCATCCCTATTTCGAGTGTCGACTGGTAGTAAATAAACCACTATTATTCGATTATCGCTTTTCCATGATATTGTCAACGTCGTTGTCTTGTTCAATAAGTCAGTGGGAACAAATTATAGGCGCTCATCCTTCTACAAATAAATAGTTGACGAAAGATGAAGACTAAAAACTATTCACAGTCGCTTATTGAACGAGAAATCGGAACAGCATTTGTGAAAGCACAGACGTAAATCGCAAGTTGGTGGAGTAGGCTTAACATTCAGCACATGTGTAACCGCCAAATACTTATTTTTAATTTAAACTCAACTGATTTTATTTTTTGTTCTTTGTGTTAAAACTAGTTCACAATAAATGCTACTATTAAACACCTAATGACATTTTGTGAAGAGCATAGAGCGTTATGATAAAACTAAAGGTATATTTTTATTTTAGAAATTATTTCAATCCGTATATGCACTATCGCGTCTTTAAAAATAGCTCATATGTTTCCAGATCGCTCTTTGCCACTTGACGTACAAATTGAAAATCATTACCACTGACTAAATCTTTTGGTGAGACATACAAATCCTTCTCGGGATCGTATTGCGCACGACCTAGTGTAACAAGGAACTCATGACGCTGTCGTAAGCGGAACTCGCGCGATGTCAGCACTTCAGGAAACTGTATTAGCATGTCATGCGATAGCTGCATTGTTTGGTGTGCATAAGCAAAACGTTCAATTAGATCGTCAGATTCTGTAAAAAAAAAATGAGGCTAACGTTATTCTACGCTTTTCAAAACAAATTTTTCATCAATTTACTCATCATCCACAATCGTGGCTTGTTCAAGAGCAAGCACTTAATTTCATCCTTATCGAAGCCCATTTCCTCGCGTATACAAAACGATGATTTGCGTATATGCTCCATGCTGTAAGTTATCAGCCGCGGTTGTTTCGATGTTAAAAATCGCACATCATCACCGCTCAGTCGAAATTCTTTCTGGAAGTGTCCAAGCCGTCTGTCAATGCGTTGCGTTGAAAACATCAGCCAATAAGGATTTCGGGTGAATATGCGTTGGCGTTGTTCAGCTGTGAAATTTTTGGATTCTAAGTAGTTAACACGCGTTTGCAAATCATCTATATCCACTTTAAAAATTAACGGATTTTTCGTGAGAAATTCACCAAAGGCCGCTGCTGGTACCCCTTGATCCTGTAGAAAGTAGAGATACGGTTTCACATTTTTTTCGAAATCCAGGCCCAGTACAAATTTAGCCAAGCCTTTACGTCTCTCAATACTACTCAAGTCTACGCCCAGTTGGATAAACTGCTGTAGCGTAGGAGATTTGTTGACGTATGCAGCCAAATTGAATGTGGGCACATAATCCTTTTTAGCTTGACCAACGGCTACCGAATCGGCTTCATCAACAAAATCATCATCGCTGGCGGGCAAATGTTGGCTTGGTGCAGCGCTTTTACTCGATGATGTTTCATTTGTGGCTTGGTAATTTTCGATTTGTTGCAATTCTTTTTTTAAATATTTATTTACTACTTCCGTAATGCCTGTTGTATCACGCGGTTCAATCTGCGCGGGTCGTATAGGGGGATTGACTTGCTCATCTATATCGTTTGATGCGCTAACTGCTGGTCGCTGCCATGGCTGATTACGTAGTTCACGCAGAATCTGCGGCACGAAAATAAACTTTTTTGCATTATTTTGACGTAATTTTGTTATTAACCGCAGATTTCCTAAAATCAACATTTTGTACGCGATGTAAAGTAAAAACAAAAGTCAGCTGTTTTTGACAGCTGAAGGGCATGTGCGCGAATTAGGAATTGGCACCGATTTCAAAAAATCGGGTTTTCGATTAATTTCCGTTTTTTAATCAGATTTTAAAGGCCAGGCAGCCAGGCAAAAATTGCCATTATTTCGTGTGTGTGCCCAAAGAATTTTGACATCTGATACTTCACAGCCTGTTGCCTCAGTCTTTCCTCAAGAAATAATGGAACTGGCATATATTTCTGTTGCAAGCAGGGTCAAAGAATAACTTAATTCCCTTTAATTTGATGTACATACATACATACATATACGTTATGTATAGTTTTTAAGAAAATTGTATTAATATTGGCAGTCACTGCCGCAGCAAACACATTACGGCGTTGTCAGTCAAGAACGATAGAATAGTTCATTTCACCATGGTTGTCAGTGACGCGTTTTTTGGCATTCCCTTTTGATTGTTTACGTTTTTGTTGTTGGCTTTGAGGATTCGGTGACATAAACAGGAGTTGGCTGAGTTTAATTTATGCCAAATTTAACATGCGAAGTTAGCTGCGATGGAGGCAGTGGCGGTGAATTTAGAATTTGGGATTAACCAAGGCGTATTTAACAAGGTGGTGTTGGATGTATATAAGTAAAAAATTACACTAACAAATTATACGCTGATGTCCATACTGTCATTGGTATGAGTTACAACAAACACATCATTTTGACGTAATGGCCTCCACGGCGAAAAACTCGGCTTTCGCCCCAACACCACCTTGTTTAATACACCTTGGGATTAACTGAGCAGTACTGCCAGCAAAAAAAAACAGCTGATTTCGAAAAACTGCCACCAAAGAACGTAGATAACGTATCTGCCTTGTATGTCAAAATGTCAAATCTCAATTCGCCTCAGTTTATATGTATTTTATTTTTGCTATTCATGGGCATGTTGTCAAATCAGTAAAAGCAAAAACAAAATACATCTAAGGCGAAGGAAAGAAGAAGAAATCAACAGGTTGGATCGATGCGAATTTATACAAGGTGGTGTTAATGGCGAATTTACATTTTCGCCGCAGTACTACTTAATGTCAAAATGATGTGTTTGTTGTAATATGAATTCGCCTTGTTTTCAACAAACACATCATTTTGACATTAGGAATTACCGCGGCGAAAATCTAAATTCGCTTCCAACACCACCTCGTATAAATTCGCCTTGGACTGGACAACCCCACCTTGTATAAATTCGCCATGGCCCCTATCAAGGCGAATTTATACAAGGTGGTGTTGATGGCGAATTTAGATTTTCGCCGCGGTACTTCTTAAACTCAAAATGATGTGTTTTTTGTAATATGAATTCGCCTTGCTTACAACTAACACACCATTTTAACATTAGCAAGGCGAATTAATATAAGGTGATAGCAGGAGTACAAAAACAAAAATTTACATATATTTTGTGTTTGCTTTGGCGGCATAAACTGTCAAAATCTGTAAAAGTGTGTAGAAATTTAAACAAAATTTTTCAATTTGACATCAGAAGCCGTGCGGCGAAACACATACACAAAACCAGCTAATATAAGTAGATTATCCTCATTTTTGAGCTTAACACCCTAATCTGTAATTATAACAAGAGATTAGCCATATAAAATTCGTCCCTTGTTAATCTGTAATTATAAAATAATCTCAGATTTAACCGATAACTTTTCGGTATCCATCCTAGTTTTATCGATTGTTTTTGCGAAAAAGAGGAGAAATGCCAAATGTGAAAGTAAACAAAAATGTACGCTAGCAAGTAAAAGAGGTTTGTAAAGGTATTTTTAATAAAATGTTAAGTTAAAATATATTTATATTGCTTATTATAGCAGAAAAACGTCATCACGGTGGCACAGAGAAGAAACATAACTTTTCCTTGAGATGTGAGAATAACGAGCACAACAAATTTGACGGCGAATAATCTGAGATTTGCCTGTGTAAACGGGGTGATTAAAAAACGAGCTTTGATTGAGATAATATTGATATGTGAATATAGTTTAAGCTAGTAACACCACCTTATATTAATTCGCCTTCGACATTAGGAAGTACTGCGGCGAAAATGTGAATTCGCCATCAACACCACCTTTTATAAATTCGCCTTGGCCCCTATTCTATCATTCTTGGTATAAATTCGCCTTTTTCCAATTAGAATTAGAGAAATGCTGAGTCGATACTTTTAAGTATTGATCGATACTCGGTACCGATTGAAAATGTATTCAATACTTTCGATACTCGGTACCAAAATGTTTAGATTTCTAATAAGGACATAGGCCAAAAATATGGGAAGACTCTTATCAAAAGCCGAATTTAGGGGCAAAAGAGCTTTCAATACTGATTTCAATGAACACATACAAAATACATGGGAATAAATTACCGAGGACCAGGATCGGTGTGAAGATCCCAAGCATTGAGTTACCGAGTACCAAGCTTCGGTGTGATGACCCCTATTATCTTCGTAGGCCCGAGAACCGAAAGCATTTTTTTGAACCCTGGATCTACTAAGGTGAAAACTGATAAAATATTTGGGATATTCACACCTGCCAATTATCAGGCTACCTGGTTATGTGGCTATAGTTTTACTCAATTTACAACAACAAGATACAATTGAGAATAATAATTTTAACCCAGATAACCTGACAACCAGGTACGTGCATTCCCTGCGGATTTTTTATATTAAATTGCGGAGTTGAGCTGTCAAACAGCTCTTTCGAAGTTCGAATTTCCTCCTCCCAAATTTTCGGAAAAATGCTACTCCCTGGGAGTTAATTATTGGAGGATTTCTTTCTCGGGAGAAACTAATTCCCGGAGAACAAACACCCTGCTAGCATTCAGAATTGGGCTGTGTATTATGGCAAAGGCTTAATGTAAAGAATCAGTATCGGGAATCGACAATTCAACACATCACTAATCAGAATCTTTTGTTTCCCATCCACCATTCGCTCGTTTTCTATTTTGTTGTAATTTTTTATACACGGCTTTTGTTTTTTAATTTAACCTGTAGATTTTTGCATTGTATTGAATATCCGAAGAATTTATTTTTCGTAGCAAGAGTAAACTATTAAGTAAGCTCCAAGAAAATGGATAAATTACGTCGCGTGCTTAACGGAAATGATTCCACCCCAGAGGAGGAGAGTAGTATCATAACCCAGGTAAAGAACTATTATTTATTTTAAACCATTTTAGTAGATAAGTTTAATTTAATTTTTGTATTAGTACTAAGCTTTGGTCTCTATTTCCTAAAAATGAAATATTTAAATCCAATTCCAATTCTTGCATTGAAAAGTAACATAAATTAACATATTGCGAAAAGCTGCTGACTCAACAAGTGGCCCGCCACCCCTTTGCGTTGCCTGTTAAAAGCACGTAGGGATTGGGAGTATGGCGAAAGGAGTATTTTAAAGCAAAATATTGAACCAAAAAATAGCCTTGATATTTGAAAGTAGAATAAACTTCTTCCGAGAATTCTCCGTTGACCACACGACCAGTCTGAATCTAATAGGCATCTGATATTGGTGGGCGTTTACGACATGATTATTATTTATGGAAACCTAGCGCACATATCAAAAGAAAATATGAAAATATGTAATATACATACATATGTATATATTAATAGTTCACGTATTTACGTATACTTATTTACATTTTAATCTAAACATAAACATCCGTATTGTTAAACAAATTCTAATTTAAAAACTCCAACATTTCTTATCAATTAATTTTCTATGCAAACTTCTTTCCACCAAACTATATGTATATTGGAATCACTGCATTGCAGATCAATGAGATGTCAACGCTCAGCTGGTCGACACGCATCAAAGGCTTTTGCATATGCTTTGTACTTGGCATCGTACTGTCGTTTCTCGGGTCTTTGATGCTCTTCTTACACCGCGGCGTAGTGGTGTTTGCGGTCTTCTATACGCTCGGTAATATAATATCAATGGCGAGGTATGCATTAACATATTATTTACGCTCTGAATGCAACTCATTTATATATAACTCATTAATTACAGTACCTGTTTTCTTATGGGACCAGTTAATCAAATCAAGAAAATGTTCTCATCTACACGCTTAATAGCCACTTGCATTGTGCTTGCATCGATAGTTATGACCTTCATAGCTGCAATTGTGGTACAAATATTTGTCATTTCTAATATTTTTTTTTATATCTTCAAACTAAGTTTAATCATTTTATTTTTTAATAACTTTATAGCTCCATAAAGCCGGCTTGACATTAATTTTCATTATCATTCAATCGTTAGCTATGACCTGGTATTCACTTTCATACATCCCATATGCTCGTGATGCTGTGAAGAAAACCATCTCCGCTTGCCTTGATGTGTAAAACTGCTATAATGTGGCAATTTTATGTTCTGCTCATCGTTGCATACACAACAAGCATTGTAGCTACATACATACATAAGTACATAACTTCAAAAGTTTGATAGTATTATCTTGTTTATTTTGCCTTAGTAGTTTTGTACCAATGCGTCACTTAATTTATAAAAGCAGATTTCAATTATAGTAGTAGGTACTATTAATGTAAATTATAAAAACTTCAGCCGGTCGGGTCTTGGGGCACTTAAAATATTTATCATGTCATAAATAGTTGCTTATATGTACACATGTAAATTCTATACTGTAGCTTATTTTACTGATAAAAGTAGACATAATCAGTGTCTTTCCACGTGTGGTAGGAAAACCAATTTAAATTTCGTAACCGTCGACTCAAAGTCAAGATCGACAATTATTCTTATAGAGCAGCAAGCAATGCAAGTGTAACTTTATATTTATTTGTTGAATTACTTACTGGGGTAACCTAAAACTCCTTATCTCAACCAACGTTGCCGAAAGCTTTCGCTGCGTTCCCACGACAGTCGGGTGTACGTAACCGGAACGACCCAGATTTATATCTGGCCAAGGACTGTCACCCCAGCAACACTCCCCAAAACTCTATGGGGAACTTGTATGCTGCTACAACAACAACAACAACAAAGCTTTCGCTGGAAAATCGTCACTTAACCCTAAAAAAATCGTCATTTCGGCCAAAAAGTCGTCAAATTTTGGTTTATTGTATTTTGTTTAACAAAATAAAAATACAAAGGAATTACATACAATTAGTCGTATGCATAAAAACTAAGCAATTGCGTTTTCTTAAAATTGTATACCTTTAACTTAAATTTATTTGAAAAAATTGAGTAAAAGGTCTGAAAGTTAAGAAAAAGTATTTGCTTAGGCTTTATGCATACGGCCCAAGAAATATGACCACACATTTAGGCCGATTTTGAACAGAAACTCCCTAGGAATATTCAGAATTGGGCTGATTATAAAACCAAATGGAACCCACATTGCATATGGGTTAATAAAAGTGGATTTGGAATTGTTAACAATTTAAAACTACGATCTAAAACATAACTGCCTTTAAATAGTAGAACTCCACTGGGTTGAAGTTTTTGATCTAGTTTTAAAGTAGGGATCTTTACACCGAGTTTGGTACTCGGTGTTCGGTAATTTTCCCCAATGTATTTTGTTTGTGTAAAATTATTTTATTATCGGTGTACCAGTTATCGAATTAGCGTGAAGAAAGCTTGATAATTTTTCTGGTAGTTGGTAAACTGCAATTAACTGTTCGATATTTATTCAATTTTAAATCCGCCCGCTGCCGAAATGCATAACGCATATGAGTAAAGGTGTTCTTACACGATATGTATCATCTGTAAATGTGACATTCCCTTATGTAAAAAGTGACAATACATTCTGTGTAAGAACACCTTAAGTAAAATTCCTTAAATTTTCTGTTACAATTTTTTTTTTTTTAGGAAAAAAGCTACGAATTCGCTTTTGATAAACAGTTTATCAGACTAACAAAAGAAAATTGAAAAGTACGTTCACAGTTTATAAAATTACCGAGTGTCAACCAGCAATTTACTAAAACTACTAAAATGGATGTGAAGACCCTTAGGGCCTTTTTCTGAAGTAATCTTTAACTTTTAAAGCTCACTTTAAAATCTTTGTCTAAAGTAAAGCATTTGTTTTATCGGTTTTTGACGTATGTATGTTACTTGGTTGTAAACCAAACTAAAATAAACAAAAAATCGTCATTACGGGGAAAAAATCGTCAACACGTCAATGAGCTCAAAAAACGTCAAAATGACGACGAAATCGTCCACTCGGCAACGCTGATCTCAACCATAAAAATGTAATAACTGCTAGGCACATTTCAAATAAAATATATAATTTTGCAACTCAGTTTTTTGCAGTGCTGATTCTTTTCTATTATGAAGATTCTCATGTAGAAATAATCATATCGACCTACGCATTAATATGTATTATAATGCTGCAACAAAATAATTACGACGAAAAGGAACAAAAACTGCATTACGCTTTGAATTTTGTTTAACTTAAACAAGACTAAGAACTCGACGGATTTCAATTAGTTGTATGTCAATATATGCCTACTTCTTTTTTTGGGAAATCGCTACCAATGGTTCAGTGTCCTCAAACTATATTCCACCGGCTGATTAAACCATATACATATGTATGTACATAAGAATTATCTTGACAATTGGCACTTAATCCCTTAAGACCTCTATTGATATTTATAATATCTAATATTCTATTTATATAGTATATCTACGTATATTTTTGATAACTCTAATTGCATTAATATAATTATAAAATAAATGAAAGTATGTAAAAAAAACGTTTAAGAAGAATTACTTATTAAAACTTGTTATAGCACGGCACTTACAAGAAAGAACTACTAGCCTATAGAAAAATCCACTTTACCAACAAATATTCATAAAATTATATTTCAAGAGTTTTCATTTTGTTTGTTTTCTGGATTGTTTCTCATAAATAAAAGGCTTTAAATTTTACACTTAGGAAAATCACCTTTATTTTAAAAATAAAATAAACAATTACTTAAAATACCAGACAAAATTAATTTTATGTTGTTTTATGTATTTATTTACAAAAAAATATAAACGCACATTTTTAGTTTTGATTTTGAAAAACTCAATTCAAACTTTACAAGGGTTGTTTTCTGAAGCTTTATAAAATGTATACGTACACTATACTGTTAAATTAAGTTTAACATTAAAATTAAAATGAAAAGTACTTTGGCTACAGTGTGCACATGCCATTTTATTTCATAATATATGAAATCAACGCATAATCATAATTGCATGGGTGTGTAAAGGTAGCTTAAAAAATAACTTGATATACATACATAATTACAATATAATGAGGTTAGATACAGTTTGTGAAATTTTGATAGGTCTACAGATAAACAAATTAAACTAAAATGTGCGATTTAAATATAAAAACAATGCACTAATTTGCTTAGCAGAGCTGAAGCGTTAAATTCTGAAAGACGCTCTAACAATTATACAAAATTTCGCGTGTTGATATGCTTCGCACACCTATCTATAATTTTTAAGAGCAACTAATTTCAGTCCTACGACTTCTATAAGGCTACAACTTTCATGCTCAGTTGGAAACTTCACTGCTTTTCAAAAAAAAAAAACCCATAACAGTCTCCAGTTTGAATTACTGCAGGCGAAAATTTGTAGTTCACAGTGTTTATTGTTATGTATGTCCATATTTCTAAATACACGGCATTTAAGAAATTTCAATACACATTTGTATTGTGCCTTTTGCAAAAAGATTTTAAATATAATTTTGATTTTCTCTGGCACAATATATTCTTGTTATTACTTTGCATGGTATAATTTTTTACTTAAATTATAAATTTGTTATTTACCATTAAGTTTTTTCATTTATTTATTTAAGTTTTGTCTTCAAAATTTTTTAAAACATATCAATCAGTATTTAATTATATTTCCGAACCTAAGCCAAGTTCTAAAATTAAATTTTTTTTTGTACTAAGACAAAAACTAAGTTTACCAGTCAGTTGTGTTCACGAAAAAATGTTTTAAGGCTTCTGCCAAAATATTTCGGAAAAAGTAGGAAGATTTACGTGAGTTGGACCGATTTGAAAATACCTCAAAAAATCTCAATATACTTGATTGCATGGATATCATTTTTAAATATTTCTCTGCAGACATTTTGGGCTTAAACTCTTCTATCATCTGAGGTAATTTTTTTGGAAAAATATAATTTTATTTATAAAAAACATTTATTTTTGATGATATTTTCAAACTGATCCAGCTCACGTAAATCTTTATATTTTTAATTCCAATGAAAAAACTACCGATTTTCATTCATCCTAATTAAAAAAAAAAAAACCTGAGAAAAAGTGCTCGTTTTTTACAAAAATATTTCTATAACATTTTATGTATCCATATTCAAATTCTCAAAGGCCTGAGCTAAAATTTTCTTTTAATATAAATTAAAAAGCTAATCTATATTATTTATTTTATTATAAAACTCAAGACAATGTTATCTATTCAAAACATACATTCTTTGACATTTTTTTCCAACTATGGTTGGTTGCTATTTCCCTTACACGGCTCCACAAAAGAATTTTTTGTTTGGCCGGCAAGCAAGAGTGGTCAATTCGCACAGAATTGGTGTCGGAATTTGAACTAGCTGCCGAGATTCATAGGTCGATCTTCCACATGTCGATTATTTTAAACATATTTTTACTATCTTTACGTTCGTGCCACGAATATTTGGATCACGATCCAAAATGCTAAATAGTGGCACTGATAAATTTAGTTCAATGAAAAGACCGAACTAGTGAACTATTTCATTGAGATGAACTAGTTCTTTAGTTCATTGAGATGAACTAGTTCTTTAGTTCAAGAACTACCCAAGCCAAGGACACAGCAGCTGCAAATCTGTGCGAATGGCTAGTCTCGTTTACCGAACGTAAAAATATATTTTTTTTTGTATGGCTGTTTGTTTTATAAATTTGAGCTCTCACGTTTTTTGTTTTTTATTTTTATCAAGCTTTATAATTTTTATTTTTACCCGACTCTACAAAAAGGAGAAAGTTAACAATTCGTCGGATTTTTTTTGAATGCAAATTACCGCATAACTTTGGACCATTTTAACCGATTTCAACAATTCTTTTTTTAAAGGAAAGGTGTTACCTCACCGGTGGTCCCATACTATGTTGGTTTAAATCCGATCATTGGATCATCAAGAAAGTAACGATAATCTTAAATTTTATATGAGAATTAAAGTCGGTTCTGTTTTTTGCTTAAAAATTACTTGTTTTTTATAAATTTTTGTTACGTAACATTCAATGCGTTGTCTGTGGGTCATTTTCTTTATTTCTGATTTTAGTTTATAAATTTCATTATTTTATCGATATCTGGAATAAAAAGTTGTCCTTTGAGTTTTCACTAAGAAAGTATTTACATAAATTTGTAAGATTTTATTCCCTTCACTATACCCGTGTCCGCTTAAGCCCTCTTATATCTTAATTTATACATTATTCAATAACTTTTACAG